CCAAAACCTTCATTTCAGGAAACGGTGTGCCATCATGTGACTCTCTTTGTTTGCTTAATACTCAGTGCTTTGGATCTTGATGAGATCCTCTAGTTATCACATTATTAATCATTAAATGTACAGACACGTTGCAACGTGACTTCAAACACGCAAAATCCCCAAAAAACTGCTCACTGATGACTACTTTTGGTTTTAGCTGTACATTTGTCAACAAAACACCATAAATCTTAAATGCATTTGTAATATATATGTAAAAGAAAAGAGGAAACGGTGGCTTTGATAGGACAACTGAATAACAAGATCCAAAGGTATCACATTTTACTGGTCAGTGAGAAGTTTTAATTAAGGACAGAAAGCGAGGAAGTTGGTAGGCATCAGGTCTGCTATGCTAACTTGACTTTGACAACCGTAACGTTTAGATGTGCTGCAGAATTTGGTGTGCTTCAGATGAGTTAAGAAATAAAAAAATAGGACGACTCACTCCAACTCTGACAGATTATTAGTGGGAGGTAATTAAGTTAACTAATTAACCACTGATCTGTTGAGACGATCACCCATCAATAACCGCAAAATAAACATCCAGCCTGAAAACGTAAAACTGTAACTGACTGTTGACGAAAGCAAAAAATCACAACGAAATAAAACTGAACCATAATGAAACACAACAAAAATATTACAACCCTGATCGGCTGCAGCTTGAAAGGCTTGTTGATGAAACGCAGGTGAAGTTGCAGATTTGTGGCGGTGCTATAAATTCAAATTGTGAAGTGACAAGTAGAGATGGGATTTATGGAGATTAGATGAAAGGTATTTAACACTGCAGTCATTAGTCACTTTATTATACTGGTGTTGGGTCTTTACGTCCGTGACATAAAATGTAATTGCTCCTAAATGAATTTCATAAAAAGAATCACTAGCCAGTAAGAGAGCTTCATTACAATAAAACACTAAAACTTTGTGAATTAGTAAATATCTATTTGTCCTAACTTCTGGCACGGCAGAGCAAAGTCATACCACTTTGAAAACATATTTCTTAAACTGTCCTATATGTAAATGTTTGCTGGTTTTGAGTAGTGTGTGACATTTTATGACCTTGCTACTACATCACCAAAATATAGGAAATAGAAATGGTATATTTTAAGCAGCTAAATCTAATTCAAAACCACAATTTTATTGTTTTCACTCAGAAAAACATTATTGCAAAATTATAGATTATGGTATATAATGGAAGGAACAAAAGTGGAACAAATCTCTAAAATGTATTACAGGAGGGTAATGTCTGCTGGAGTTTTGGTTTAAGAAATGATAACCCCAGCAGCAACTTATTCACTGTTTGCATCATTCCAAAGGAAAATATTTCATGAGAAAACATTTACCTGATTTTTTCTATACAAATACATTGCAGAAAATAATTTCTGATATTTATTTATAACCATTTCCTGGTTCATGAGTGCATTTTGATACATTTTGTGTACTGTGGGTTGTATAATGTGTTTAATTTACCAATAATTTCAATAAAAGACAAAATATGTTATGCTAACATGCTCTTATTTTAGCTTTACTTCCTTAGTTAACTGATTTGATAACATGTCTTCATGGGCAACAGGAATTTCAGAATAGGCATTTTGTTCCCAGAGGATAGCAGAAATGAGCTGCAACTGCATTTATCTGGCAAGTGCAGTGCAAGATATTTTCAGTAGATTGGAGGATTATTTTCTTCTAATAGTGAAAATAATAGCTCTAATAGTGCTTTGCTGCTAGATGTTTGGAAACCAGACCAAATTGTGGATCCTTATTAGAAATAGTAAAAGTAGGACTTCTCCAAGTGACTAACCTCAAACAAATCTAGTGAAAAAGGAAATGATCAATTTTTAAAAAAAACATATAACATGCTTTCATCAAATTAGGAGCTTTTTAAGTTCTCTAATATTATAAGATTTTAAGAATTTAATTTGAAAGGTTTTTCACTTAGTGACTCATAAATGGATCTTTTGGATATTGCAGTGCAGATGAGCTCTAAACTGTAAAAGTTATATAAAGGCTCAGATGTGGGTGATTTTCTTTTTCAGGACCTCCAAATATTCTTGGTAGAGTTTTTCTTAACCCTTTACACAGTGAGGTGATATATGCTTAAAATATTCAATACTTAATCCTAATCTAACTGATTAAAATTCAGACCTCCACATACACTCCTGGATATTTTTTTTTTTTGTTGAGGAACAGCATCATGCACCAACGGTTGCTCAGGCAATTCTTGCATTTTTCTTGCAGCCTGTGGCATTGTGGCCATGCATCACCTACAAATCATGTTCATTAGTGACTCATACTTTTTTAAAACACTCTGATTGGTTGGCAACAGTTAAATTTGGGCATAGTGCTGCAAATATTTGCTCTGGCATTTGGAAATTGAATTAAAGTTTTTCACTCTGATTTGTAAATGCATGTTTTGGTCCCATTACTGCACACAAAAACTAACCCACCCATTCACTTATCTTATCATAAAACTTCACGATTTACAAATTGAAAATGTTTTAGTTAGATTGTGCAATAAATGACTATTCTGTAGCGTTTTTTTCTTTTGTTTGTTTCCCTGCAGAGACTTCCACAATAGTTTAATTTTCGCATCACAACAATCCCTTCATCAACACTGGCAGCCATTTCTTTTATTTGTTTGATATGCAAACATTATTTTTCTTATTCTGAAAGCTGTAGATGCTCACAGTTGGAGCATTTCAGATCCATGCAGATGCCATTAGTATAACAGCTTCACACAATGCTGCTTATGAAAGGATCATCAATAAAAGAAAGCCTGTGGAAACAGATAAGGCTCATTTTTTATATTTTGCATAGAAAAAAGCTCCAAAGGAGGCAAGCCAAATTTTTGTGTCCATCAGACTGAGCTATTCATAATAAACTTATTTCCTGCCAATAGTCTGCAGCTCTCCACCCCCTCTCATTAACTGTTCTGTAACACAGGCATACAATAGCTACCATTAAATAGTTCATAAAATAAACACTAGCTGTGGAGTGGAGTTAAAGTCTTTGATGATTATTTCATGAGTCAAATCAGGATAACAGTGTTTCTGCTCATTCTGTGATTCCGGGTCTCTTGAAGCCCTGAGGAGGCTTCCATCAGTGGGAGAGGCGAAGCTGGAGAGCTCTCGTTCTCATTTTGCTCCTCGTTCGATGCAAATGATTCTTCTCTAGCTGACAAGTATCAGCGACTCTGGCTCCGGGAGCATGATGAAGATAGGGTGTCAGGTCGGTGCCCAGCACAGGCACAGAGTGATGTATTCATTTAATTTCAGAGTGATGACATGCTGTATAAAGACTGCCGAACTGGCTGGTCATAGATTCGCTGATTCCACTTCTCTCTCTTCCTCTCTCACACAGATATGTGAGGAAGCCGCCACTCGTTTATTCATGCAAATGGGATTGGATGTTGTGGAAAAACATTTCCTTGTTAATTTAGTGTGTAATAATTGTTTTAGCGTTAACAGAGCTTGCTTTGTGGGGGGTTGATGTGCCGTCATTAGCTGAGCAGAACGGTTTGAGTTGACAAGAATGTACAACATACAACGTGCTTGTTGCCACTCCTGTTTGGTTTTGGACTTACATGGTGGACGAATTATTAAAAAAAATTAAAACCACAAGTAAATCCAGCAAAAGCAGGTAAAAAAGATGTAAATAAAAGCTCTTAAAAACTGAATGAAAGGAAAGTTTCTCTTATATATATGGATTAAATAAGTATCTAAAAGGGCAGTATTGTGTATTTTTTCCCTTATCAAAAACATACATGGAGTATTGCCTTGATTTGTTCATGCATGTTTGAGAAATCCTCTAATCTCCATGGCAACCATTCAGCTCTGCAAAATGCTTGGGGGGACCTAGGTCCGCCTTTTCTGAGCTACGGTTTCTGAGTTTCTGCCTCACAGATCAGCGCTCTCCTGGGACTCCCCCACTCAGCTCCTTCAGACTAGCCAGCAGCAATTAGCAAACACTAATTGCTGCTGGCTGGGAAGTCTGGGTATTGTACAACCCAGACTTAAAATTGCTGATACCTATTTTTTCTTTTGTTTTTTTCTTTATCAGTTGAAGTATTATGTTTTATGCTCCTGTGATTCTGCAATGATATATATGAATAGAAAAAGGAGAGGTGGATGAATGAATTTTCTGGAATCTTATAGTTCAGGTTACATAACATGGAAGTATGTAATACAAGGAGATTTTTTTTCTTTGTTCACACTGGTTAAAGGTTTCTGTTTTCAGGTCATTTATAGCCATCGGGAAGCTAAAATGTCAGCTGTTTGCCTGAGGCTTTTCGTCTGCAGCTCACAGCGATTATCCAGCTTCTAATTTATCATGGATGAAAATGGTGCAGTGGAAGGGACCACATGGTGCGACCAGAGCCAAAAGTCGTACAGCTGCAGTGTCACTAAAATGTAATGCATAAATGTGGAGCACTCAGAAATTTTCTAGAAAAAAGTCAATAAACAGTCAATAATTTTCAACTTTTGAAACTTTGTTTATTGCTAGTGGACCAGTACTTGCAACAATATTTTACTCTGGCAAAATTAAACTTATGGAGTTACTGAATGAATGTTTTCACCTTATTCAACTCTTTTCTTTTTCTTTACCATTTCCACAAATTATTTAATTTAGTTTTGATGTAGTTTTATAAAAAAAATAAAAAAAATGTTAGGTTTATTTGTTGCCACTAAGGCATCACTTTTCTCACTACAGATGCTGAGAATGTTTTATGATTTGAATAAAAACATTTAGTCAAATACGAACTCGAGATAATTTTCCTCTCTCATTAAGCAGATAGTAATGTTACTTTTAAAGGAGAAAACAATGATCTAAATCTATCTGCCTGTGTACATCCATGCAGAGCTTAGATAATTCAGAAATGATGTTAATGGAATAATGAATCTATCGGTTTAGAGTAAGACCTTCCACATTGAAAAACTGAGGATTTGTCATCTTTTCTGGCCTTGCAGTTACTTTGAGCTGGAAAGCAGCGGTGTGAGAGAGGAGATCCGCTACCACTACCGCTTTAAGGGCAAACCACGATCCGAGTCATTCCCCTACCGCCTTGCTGACGGACAGTGGCACAAGATCGCCCTCACCATCAGCACCTCCCACCTCCTGCTGCACGTCGACTGCAACAGGTAACGGCACTCAGAACAGATAATGGCTTCCACCAAAGGAAGCTTCTTTTTTTTTTAAAACCTCGCTCCTCTGAATTGACACATCTAATAAGCTGTCTGTGATTATCAAAGTCAATATTTGTTTGCTGGCGTGTCGGTGAGAATGACAGGTTGTTAACGGTGCTGAAGAGGGAGCGTCCTAGGACAAATTAGCACCCAGTGAATGTGAGAGGGAGGCGGTATATTTATATAACGTTCTGTATCTCTGCAGAGTGTTGCATGTTCAACATGTTCAGCTGACACAGATCCTTTAAGATGTGAAAGCTAACAAAGGCATAATTGGCTCACCAGCTCTCTAGTAGGGACATTAAACTCTGTCAGAGCTAATCTATAAATATGCAGTTTAGCTGTGACAGTTTTACCCAATCCTCACATCTCTATTTGAGAGTTAGGAAGGTCTAGTTTCCCATTTTCTCTCTCCATCCAGCTGCTGGGCATGTGTTCATTCAACGAGGAGTGTAAATTACTGTAGAAATACTCTGTCACCTTTAGCTCCATGATGCACTGGATGATTTATCAATATTATTGATTTTTCCCAGATGTCTTTTACATCCATGAGGCTTCCAAATTAATTATCAAGCCAGAGAATATCTAAAATGAATTGAGGGTATGTATGTGTGGTGAACGGAGGAAGATTGGACCAGAGTGTTATTAGGGAGAACAGATCGTCAAATTATCAAACAAAAATTGTAATAAAAATCTTTTTTTTTTTTTGTCTGCACTGTTCTTTAGAGGAGAGTGGAGGCAGCTCACTGTGTGATTGAATGGGTTGCTTTGGTGCTTATTCTCACATGGTTTTGGCTGTCAGTGGTTTAAATGTAGGGGCTGAAACAGAGCTTAACTGTTCAAAGTGAAATCTCTGAGTCTGTTTATAAATTTTACATTTAAACACGTTTTTACTGAGTCTCGCTCTGTTATGCCAGTGCGTTATGTTTTATCTGCATATTAGAACTCTGCCGGGGTACATGCAGACCTCCTCGCTGCTATTTTGCCATGCATATGCACTTTATGTTTTTATTTCATCATATTTTGCTGAAACTTTATTGTCTGGATGCCTCCGCCCTCCTGTCGGCTCACACTGTAGATATGGGTTTAGTAAGTTCATGAAATGCTCCTCACCCTGAGCACCCAAAGATACTGGCAAAACTTTTAGACTTCTGCCCTTTTACAAAACACAACTAAAATACTCACAGCTGCATGAATATTTTACAGGAGGAATCAGTAAGTAGAAAAATATCCAAACTGCCTCGAATCTTAAAGATTTCCATAAATGACGGCTATAAAACTTTCTGTAAAAGTGTTTTACAGTGAAATATCACCTAAAATGAAAAAAATGTATTATGCAATATTGTCCTTTCCACTTGTAATAATGTTGTACCCTGTTACAAGCTACTATGGTTGTATAAGGATTCTATATTCACCATTTGTATGTCTTGCAGTGTTGCATGATAAACAGGACTAAAGAACACTTTATATCTATTAAATGGGAACCAAAAATCTTTCATTTAGTATCTAGTTGGTTTACCCAAACATAAAGTATTAGTTTGTTTTTATTATTTGGTTGAGACTGGTTGCAAGAAACTTCTGCACAGTTCTTTTGTAAGTTGAATCGAAGGTGAGAACAGTGACGACGTTTTCCTGCGATATTCAGAGATTTCTTTCTCCCTAATTCCCGCTGAGCAGCTCTAACAAAAAGAGTGGGAGTTGAGTCCTTGCTTTTGTCAGCACATATAAAAATGATGGATAAAAAACACCTCAGTGGAGAACATTTTTAAAGATCCACTGGACCCTCAGCACCAAATGATGTCAGATTCCATCCACCATCTCATTCATATTACCGATACATGCACAGGAAATTAAAACCTTTATGTGGGCTGATCTGTGAGGCTTTCCCTGTAAGATCAAAGTAAAGCAGATGACAGCAGACTTACCCAACTTCTGCCAGTTTTACAGGTCTGACATTACGACTCACCACCTCGGTGGCAGCCAGTCTTGTCTCAGATCTTACATTTGTCTGTCCATATTCTCCATGAGTTTTAGTAGAAGTGCAAAAAATGCATTTCGGCTGTTTCCAGAAAAACTCAAGTCAAAATACCTTTTCATCTTTCAGGACAATATCTGTGCTTCCATTACCAATGTGCACAGAATTGATTAATGTCAAAACACAATTTTGCAATTGCTTTGTTTTCATTAAACAATAAGCACAATTAAAATCATATGTGAGATAAGTCATTAAAAACGCCGCCCCATCTTCATTCACCCACTTCCTGTCGTCTTCTGCTTCTTTCCCGCCAGTAGTAACATTCGGTTGTTGATCACATGACTTGTATGATGCAAAAACATTTTTCCATTGTATTTCATTTGTGAAATACACCAATTTTGATGCAGCTGAGAAAATATATTTTATCAGAAAACCTGATTTTTTTTTTCCGCGTTTCTATTAATCAAATTTATTTTCATCCTTCCAATTTACACAATTATATGGTCAATGGAAACACAGCACTGTTTTCTCCCCCTGCCAGCAAACATTTTCATATTTCACTCCGTCATACCAGAAGGCCTGCATAAATTTTATAGCCACTCTGTCAAAGTGGTCCATATGTTAAGTCATGGAAATATTTACACATTGTATACTTATGAAGGTAAAATTTAGCACCTCAATATATTTTGCTGAGCTACTGTCAGCTGATCAAAGGAGGACATGTTTATGCACAAAATATTTAAAATGAATTCTGATTTTCTGATCTCAACCCTTTATCCTTTGCTGTCAATTTTTTTTCAATTTGTTGGAATAAGTAATAGACCAATAGAGTTACTGTATACTATGTGGATGGTTACAGACTAAAGACTGTTGACTAAAGACTGTTGACGTCCTCGAGTTGGAAGTTTCCAGGTTTTGATTTTTGTTGAGATGTTGAGGTTGATTAATCATCCCATTGAAAGCTTGACAGCCGCTTTCAGTCTCACTTTTCCCCACGTTCCTGAGTTCAGCAGCCAAGTTAATTTTAACAAAAGTTTTGCAAAACGAACAGGGAGAGAAAAACAGCCAGTTGTATCATGGCAAAGCTCACTTTAATCTTAGGAAAGTACCCTTCTTTAAAGCAAGTTGTCAGATACATCAATTGGCCTGTTTTCTCCCCCTAACTACACTTATTGATTTAGGACACGAGGACTTTTTTTAAAGTTTGGCGACCAATGATTTTTCTCCTAATCATCACAGTGACTATCTATTTTGTGTTGTGTTCAAACCCCAAGAGCATTTCAAAGTTTTCTCTTACAGTAACATTGGTAGATTTGGTAGAAAGTCTGACAGAAGAACATAAACTAGGCAGAACTGTGAAGCGGAAGGAAATAGGCAGTATTTTTTCTTTGTCCAATCAAACTGTTCTTCAGTTTGCATTAAAAGGAAAGGAAATCAATCTGTTATGTCTGTAGAGTAGAAAGCTGCTATACACATACATGAAAAAACTAGCAGCTATAATTTCAGCATAATGTGTTTCTATAAAGTTTTAACTTAAGGAGACTGAATGCCTATGAACGGCACCCTTTTTTTTGACGGTAACTCCATGCATAATTCATGCTGTCCTGACTTATGTTTACTAGGCAAATTAAAGTTTGTGGGATATTTACTGATATAATCAGGTTCAATTAGGAGTCATTCTGCTGTTAAATTAGTATAGAAACTTTAAAAGTAAATGCCAGTCATTACTGCTCACAAGTATTAGCTTTTCAGACTTTGTAATTTAGATAAGAGGCAAATCAGCAGGAAGATTTCTGTACTTTACAGAAAATACACAGATTGATCAAAAAGGTAAAACTGAAAGGGTTTTGTTATAGGCTGATTTAAGGTGTTTTTGTTTCTTTGCCAAAACTGTTTATTGAGCTGAATTTGCAGTTTTTGCAGAGATACTGTAAAACATGCATTTATTAAACCCCATGATCCACTGAAATCTGCATTCTTGTGCTTCGTAGTCTTGGGTTTAAGCACTGGCATATCCTCTATTATAAATCTATTCTTGGTCTGCTCCCATTATTTTACAGACCTACATCCTTTATGAAAGTATAGAAAGTTATGGTCTTTGTTCTGACGAATTATTCCTTTTATCTATTCCCAAAGACGGCACAGGACTGGGAATAAAGCCATTTAAATATGCTGCTCCTTCTGCTTAAAATGAGCTGCAAACTCTGCTGCATTTTAAAAAGCCTGTCTCACCAGATTAATTCCAGCACATGTGAACATATTGGAGTCTCGTTTGATTGACCATTCTGCCCCCATTTGACCTCTTGATGCCATGTGAATTTGAAATTTTGACATTTTGGTTCTTGATAGTTTGATATATTAAAATTTAAATATTGAAAACTTACCCTAAAATCTACATGCATGCATTATTCATGTGCTGTGTCTGTTGTGACCTGAACTGATTTCAAACCTCAGTTTTCTGTTTCTTGGTTCAGTCAAGGTTAAATAGAAAAGAGCCAGACCAAACAGGTTACAGTGCAGCCTGTTGGTAAAAACAGGTTGGTGTTTTTACGAACATAACGTGTGGAAACAGCTGCTGGGTATTGGTAAAGTTGTCATTTTGAATGTTGAAGAAATATAAAGCAGGTTTTAAGATGAGTCATTTTCCTTAAGTGAGAAACCTGCAATTCTGTCTGCAGGCCGTGTGAAGCTGCTTGTGAAGGTTACCTCAGGGCATTCTGGGTTATATCTGCACAGTATTGCGCTTTATTTTCATCCTCAAAGTCCTACATTTTAAAATATGTATTTTTTTTTAGAGAGGACTCCATGTTTTTGCAATAAATAATGTAGTAATGCTTGAATGCATCTTCCAGCATTTATCTAGTTGTTTTCTCCTACCAATGTAATCTAGAAAGAAATGAAACAATGAACTAGTAGCAGGTTTTTGGTTCTTCTTTCTGATCATGCAATTCTCTGTCAGAAGATTTGAAATCAGTTGATT